GTTCAACCTGAACAGAAGTTATCAAAAACGGGAGATTGTAATAATGTCTGACAGCCAAGCAGCTATCAAAGCATTAAGCTCAAATCAATCAATCAATCAATCAATCAAATAATGCTTTATTTGTTATGAAACATGAAATGTTGTTAAAAAAGCTCTAATACAATTAAATAAAAAATGGAGCAACATAGCGGAACAACAAACAAACAAATTAAAAGTTGCAAAAACAAGTCTTGCTGCCTCGAACAAACAAAAACAGAGTAAAATGCTTTAAATTGGAATAGTATTTTACATATCGAGGTGGGATAAGTGTTCCGTGTTTCATTACTGCCGAAAGATTCGCGTCTCATTTAACTATAATCTCGAGACGGGAATGAAACTTCCTACCGAAGTTTGTATACTATCACATTTACAACTATCAGAATTTTGATTAAATACTAAATAAAAATTTAAAAAATTTCTTAACAAGTTCTGACTTATCTGAATAAACGTTTGACATGTAGGACTTGTCTTTAACATTTTAGGAAATGAGGGCTTATTTTCCACCCGGATGGAAAGTTAGCATTTTCCACCCGGGACCACTTTCCCCCCGGGAGGAAAGTAAAATTCAAAAAAGTGTCACTTTCAACCATTTGAAAAGTCAGAAATGTCAACATTACGTATGTGTTAGAAAGATTTTGTCAGGTAATGACCAACGTCAATACAGGGACACTAGGTCCCTACTGGTCAACGAAGTTCAATTTTGCTTGTACAGGGAGCTTCAGCCTATGTCCTTCTGATGAGTCCTAACAAGGACGAAACGCGTCAAGGATTGGCACGGGAAGCGTGAGTCCACTGCTCAGTGGGCCGATTCCCAAACAGGGACCGTAGTGTCCCTGTATTCACGTTGGTCATTACCTGAAAAAATCTTTCTAACAATAATTTCCATTGCCAATGAAAGCTCAGACCAATCAGTGTAGTTCAATGCCGGTAGGGGTATTTGCCCTCGAAGTAGTTGTTTCTGACTGGTCAACGAAGTTCATTACTGAATCTTTTCAAACAGTTTATGCTCTTCGAATTCATAGGCAGGTGATTATACAACTTCAAACCCCCATACACTAATGACTGTTTGGTGAGAGTGCATCTTGGGATAGGCAGGCGCAATTCATTGCCACGCCGGGTATTGTGGACATTTTCATTTGAAACATCAACATACTTCCTATGTATTAAGGTAACTGTTTCCAATATAAAAAAAGCTAAAGTCAGTAGGTATCCCTTCCCTTCTGAAATATTCCCTACAATGTCCTCTAAAATTTAAACCACAAAGATACTTAAGTATGCTCCTCTTCTCAAGTACAAAAGCTGACTGCACAAGTTGTTTGTTAGCAAATCCCCAAAATGGAATTCCATATCCTATATTTGACTCAATTACGGAAAAGTATAATAATCTTGCCATGGAATGATTTATCTGTTTGCTATTATCACCCTTATTGCATAACACCTACCAGACAGCCTTTTATTAAGTGAAGTAATGTGATCAGAAAAATCCAGTCTCGAGTCAATAGTATTTCCCAGAAATTTCGTACATGATTTTTTTAACAATTGTCTCTCTCTGCATTGCCACATCATCAACACTACACCTAAACGACATTATATTTGTTTTTTTGATATTGAAATTCAAACAATTTGCATCACAACACTCTTTCACTTATATCATTCTGGATTTTATTTTGCTAGATCTGTGGCTCACGTTCAATCCATAAAATAGTGGTGTCATCAGCAAACAAGGTCAACTTCCCATCGATATTCACGTTAGTCAAGGTCATTTATATACAGATGGCAGAGGAGTGGTCCTAAAACTGAACCTTGGGGCACTCCGTGAGGATTAATTTGAGCCACTGAGTTATTATACTGACACCTGACAATCTGCTCCCTGTTGTTGAGGAATGATTCGAGCCAACCAAGCGCCACCCCTCTAAAACCGTAATGGTAAAGCTTCCCCAGCAATAGTTCGCGATTAACACAGTCGAATGCTTTCCATCACCATTATTCAGACCCAGGAAGACTGACTCCAGAAAATTAGAAATAGCATCACATGTATTCATTTTAGCTTGGAACCAACAACATTGGAAATCATTAAGTATTTTATGTTTCTTTAAAAATGCGATCATTCTGGATTTAACCAGTTTCTCAAACATTTTGGATAGGGACGGGAGCAGAGATATAGGGCGATAGCAATAGCATGGGAGATCGTCGGCATCACCACCCTTAAAGATAGATCTGATAATGCTCGTCCTTAAAGAAGGTGGAAAAACTCCAGTGTCAAACGAATGATTAATAGCCAAATACAAGCAATTTATGGCGTTATCTGGCAGGCATTCAAATATTCTTAAAGACATTTCATCGATGCCAGCGGACTTTTTATTTTCTATTACCCGGAATGTTGCTTTTAATTCTATTGGATCAGTATGATAAAGACGAAACGTTTCCGAAACAGAATGTTTTAAAAAATGATATATAGTGTGGTCAAATTGGCAGTTGGAGTGGAACAAATTGAAGACAAGGGTTTTTTAATGAAAATGTTGTTGATATTTTTGTATATACCTAATTATTTTAAGAAGCATCAATTTTTTGAGAAATTGTCAATATAAATACGTTTTTCTACTACCGTGCGTAAAGTACTCACTTTACGCACTATTCAGAAGATGTAAAATTTCACTTCACGCACTAGTGCGTAAAGTAATTCACTTCACACACTAGTGCGTAAAGTAATGTCAATGACAGATGTCAACATTGTCAATTTGGCATTTTTCTAGTAAATCACTTCACGCACTAGTGCGTAAAGTGAATATCCTTCACACACTAGTGCGTAAAGTATTTGTCCAAATTTATTTTTTTACACATATTTGATTAGAAGTAGAAAAAATTTTGTATGCAATACGTGCGTAAAGCACCTTTACCTACGAGCGTGCGTTAAGTGCACTTTACTGCACGTATTTGCAAATGGAAAGTATCACTTCACCGCACACTATGCAGTAAAGTGGACTTTACCGCATAATGTGCGGTAAAGCTAACTTTACAGCATAGTATGCGGTAAAGTAGAATACAAAGTGTGCGGTGGTAAAGTGCACTTTACCGCATAGTGTGCGGTGTAGTGGAATTTGATATTTATAATCTTTCTCTCTCTTTTTCAGAAAATGGATTTTTGATCATTTCTAAATCTTATCTAATTTCATTAATTAATCTGATTCAGTAATTAATTTTATCAATGCCTTTTTTTGGAGATGTAGATGCTCATAGGTAAAATTTTGTACCTAACACATGCGGAAAGTGCCTTTACCGCCCTTAACGGCTTGACCGAACGACGCGAAGCGGATGCCCCCAATTGACTTGCTGGTACAAGAAAGAACAGAAATACACAGGACGGGCAAATTGCAAAAAAATGCTGCAAGGGAAGATTTGATGGAGCGATGGCAGGAGAAGAGAAATGGCAGACATAGGAAAGTTAGGAGCAAATTTCATAAAGGACATCAAGCTATGGTGCCAAACCAAGTGGACGGAGACTGATTTTCACTTAACGCAGGGCCTTCACTGGTCATGGAGTCTTTGGGTCCTATCTGAAGAAAATAAAGAAGCAGCCGTCCAGCCAATGCTGGTTCTGTGGCGACGAAGTCACGCCAAAACACACACTATTTATCTGTGATAATTTCGAGAAAACAAGACTGACTGCAGAACTGAAATGTGGAGTAAGAATAGATAAGGACAACATAGCAGAACTGCTACGCAGAGCGAAAGTAACTGGAAGACCATCACAGAGATGCTACGCAGAATCATGAAATTAAAGGCGGAAGAGGAAAGGAAATGAGAGAATGAAAGAGCATGATACGTTTTTACCTGCAAGAAGAGAAATTGTCCGTAACCCCTCCTGAAGTATTATTGAAAAGTGGTCCCGGGAGGGGAACCTGCAAAGAGTAGGGGAAGGGTTTTAATGGGTGAGAGTCTCACACTCCCTAGGGCGTCAGAACACCAATGCCCTAGGCGTGCATAATTCGTTTCCAACCGCTATTAAGTATAAAAAAAATATATTATATTGGCTAAGGGAATTCCCATCTACAAAAAGCTGTTACAGAGTAATCACATAATCCCCACATAAAATTGCCGATGCCATCAAAAACGAAAGGAATTTTGCATAAATTATAAATTCTATTGATAAGAATAACCTTTGTTGTTATTTTTATTATAATGAGAAGAAATATATCAAGTTTTCTAAATTTACCGGAAAATGGTTCGATTTTCACTCTCATTTACACAACGATACTTAACCCATCAAAAAATGCCAACTTTAAACGGAGCCGATGTAGGCGTGTTCAAGCAAGAAAGTTATGCTCCCTGGCGGTCATCAATTCTAACATAGTATGGTAACGTCTGCTGAAACTCAATGAGCTGGGAAAAGAAAACAAAATAACCCCTCCTCTGGGTGCATGGACACATAGGGGTCGAGGGCAACGAATGCTCAGACAGAACGCCAGAACGGGAGCGTCTACTTCCTTCACTGGATCAGTACCATTGGGCAACCTCAACCAAAAAAGATTAGAGCTGCTAGTCAACCTTAGCAAGACTCTAACCGGGTTTCTCTCGGGACATCGCAGACTTGAGAAATACCTACAGAAATTGGGGTTGGAAGAAGGTGGCAGATTCTGTGAAGACGGAGTAGAGACACCTTACCATCTCCTATTGAACTGCGATGCCGTTAGTCGCTCAAGGATGAAAAACCTGGGAAGTCCGCTCATACAGCTCCAGCCCTGGAACCGCTAGATATCCTAAAATTCCTTAAGTACCTAGGACTAAAGGAGCTGTTTTGAGCAGGAAGCCCGAACTTAGCAGCAAAAGGAGGGGTATAATAGATCAACCTTGATCGCAGCGCAACTAACACCTCCAAAACATACATTCATATACATCAGGCAATGATGCCATTTCAAGTTTATGCTACCTACAAGTAGAATAGAAATTTTCATGCTGATGATTTCAAACAATCAAAAACTAAATTATCAAAAATGAACAAATATATTTTCATACAAGATTACATTGTTTCTTAATCAATAAACTCGTTAACCGATTTAGCAACCGCGATCACTTTGAAACTGAGGCATATCTAACACAGAATCTTCATCATCATCTGGTTCACTAGAATCACTTCCGTCCTCATATTCGAAATCATCCAAAGGATCTGCCACATATAGATGTGGAGAAGGTGCACGTGGAAGTTCATCATGTTCGAAATCATATAGAGGCTCTTCGAAAAATAGATCTGGAGAAGGTACACGTGGAGAATCTTTTTTTTGTTGAGCAATTGGTTTTGGTATTGATGATGTTGGTTGAGGTGGTGATGTTGGAAGAGGGCGTTGAGACTTAGGTGGTTCAGCTACTGGGATTTGGGAAGGCGGTTCTATCTTTTTGGGCGGTAAAGGACAGTCTATGGCTTTTTGTTTGGCGGTTGGTGATTCAGCTAGAGGGATTTTAGATGGTGGTTCGATCTTTTTTGGCGGTAAAGGACAGACTATGGCTGTTTCTTCGGCGGTTGGCGTTTTTTTCGATGATAATTTGTCCCAAATTGTGTCCCTAAAAAACAGATTCGTGATTTTTATGCGGCAGATTAAAATTCTTAGAAACAAAAATATTATGATGTCAGTAACTAGTCATAAAAACTTTTCAATTATATTTATGCAGCTGTGATCTAAATATATATTTGATCTAACGCCAAAGCTTTTTAAATGGCAAAAATTAGCAAAAGCACTAAAAATTGAAAAAAAAGGTACTTACCGGTAGGACAGGACAGTGTACCATAAGGCTAACATTTTTTGTTTATTACTGTTTTAAAATTAAACTTCTTCCTATACAAAGATATCTGGAAAAATTATTTTACACGGATTTTGCTTATTCCACGAACTCACAAATATCGCACTGTTTCCCCTATTGAAAGTCGGGTACTAACTAATCTATATTTAAACAAACATGAATTTCCGAATTACTCATTGCTCAACCACACCAGGCAGCTTATTGTAAATTTTTATCCGCTAATACAATTTTTGGTATGACGAATGCGAAATAAACATGAATTGAGTCATATAGATTCTACACAAAAATACAAATAAAAAACTGAACTCGTTCCAAGTTAAAAAAAAAAAATAATGTGAAATATCTGAGCCGGTAACAACATCAAAAGACATCATGATATACCTACCTATAAGTAAAGTTTCAACTAAAGTAAGGCTCTATATACATACTAAGTTTTTATGAAACTACAGACATTTTTATATTAACCCAACGCTTTAACTTTGTTCAAGCCACTTAAAGTACAGTAAGCCAGTTATTGTAATGAGTTTGGGGACTTCTAACAAAGTTTCGATTTAGTTCGCATGAAGTTAGTAGTGTCGGGTTTTGACTAAGAGCTTTGTCATGAAGTTTTGGAATGTTATTATTAATAGACACTCGAAATACTGTAAAACACCACCCACAACTCATCTAAGTTGGTGCACGACATGGAATAAAACTGGCAGTTTATTATCTATGAAAAATTTCTATTAGTTTTTTCACCTACTCTTGTTAAGTGCAGTCAAATTACATAATAAACTATATCTTTTATACTTACTGTAGTTTTCCGCAGCAGGCAAATACATTTTTGTATCAAGCAACAATATATACTTATTCCAAGTTTTAAAAGGATTTGATGGGAGCTGGAAAGTTGCAAATATTATTATATTAAGATAGAAGACAACTTTAAGTTGCTAATAGTAAATTTGGAAAAGCAACATTTTGGATATATGTTGGTTAGCCTAACAAAAAAATTTAAGCTTATTAACAAATGAAATATTCTCATATATGATAAGTTTTGAAAACTGGACAATAGGTGGACTTGAGTCAACAATTTCCAAGACATTCAAATCTTAAATCAGCAACAATCCTTACTAGGTGTACTGAAGTTAACAACAATATTATCAATACTTATTATTGGAGTGGCCATCTGTTATCGAATATTGTTGGCAATCAGCAAGTTCAAAATTGTAATAGGTAATAAATAATTGTCAGTCCTATGACATCGCGAGGTACCTGAACCTGAAAATGGACCTATGAATTAGGCGACGGAGAATATTAAAAGCAAAAACCGTATTATGGCCTACTTACTATCTATTTTATCATGTTCGCCTGCTGCCTCACATTTTTACGATATCCGTTGACTCCGATGATCAAGGAAATTGCGATATCTCCGGTGGAACAAATAATTATATTTCTTAGAAATAGCCGGAGAGATCAAAAATCAACGTATCGAAATGACGCGAATTCGTGGTGGGACCAAAAACTATTTAAACAATCAGGTAGAGACAACAAAAGACAGTCATCAGTCCAGATTAGTACGAGATAGACGAGATAGTCTAGAGTTGAAAAGTGATCGGTCATCAGATAAAATTCGCGAAGAGTTATTTGTTTAAATAAAGAATGAAGGCTTTCACGGCCGGTCAAATCTAGTGAAAAAGTTTTTTCCGGGATATAATGCCGTGGTCCATTAGTATTTCTACCTAAAGTTTCGTCTACTGCTGCGGTAGTCCGGACATAACTCTACTACCAAACGACATTCTGGTTAGTTTTGATGTCGTCCCATTGTTTACCAAAGTACCAGTGAATCAGGCCATCTGATAGATGTTTTTCCGGAGGAAATCAGCAACTTATTTCACCACTGTCTGACGACTACGTAGTTTCAATGGCAAAATGAATTCTTGGAGCAGACAGATGGAGGCGCAATGGGGAGTCCACTCAGCCCGGTTATCGCCAACTTCTAGATGGAACACTTCGAATAAATGGCATTGCGAACGACCACTAAGAAACCTACTTGTTGGTTTCGCTATGTAGATGACGCATTTGTTGTTTGGAACCATGGAGAGGCAGAGCTCGAAAACTTAATAATCTTAACTCAATATAACCCAGGATACAGTTTACGATGGAAGTTGAGAAGGACAACAAAATTGCATTCCTCGACGTCCTCTTAGAAAGATTACCCTCAAGTAAACTGGGACACAGAGTATATAGGAAGCCGACGCATACGGACAGATACCTAGGCGAGATACAGCACCTAAAATCAGCACTTGAAGAAAATGAGTACTCTAGGCAGCAGATAAATACAGCATACAGCTATAAGACCGAATCAACAGCGCACAAATAACAAGGAACCAACACAGGTGGCAGGGAGAGCCTTTCTTTCCTACATCAAAAATGTCACAGATCGCATAGGATGAACGCTAAAAAGACACAACATTAATCCTATCTACAAACCTACAAGAATAATTCAGCAAAGATCGGCCAAGGACCCTAGGGATTCTCTTGAAACGGCTGGCGTCTATGGAATTCCTTGCTCTTGTGGATCTGTCTATTTAGGAACAACCAAACGCTCTATCAACACCAGGGTCAAAGACAAAGAACACAAAAGAAACTGTCAGCAGGGGCAAATAGATAGATTAGCAATCGCCGAACACGTGCTAACACAAACAAACCATGTCATTCGCTTCGACCAAACTCAAGCATTGGATAGAACGAAACATTTTTACACCGGACTCCACTGAAAAGCCATAAAGATACAGAAACACCACAACAACTTCCACAGAAATACAACAACGAAAAACAAAGATCCATCCTTTCCGAGAACGAAACAAGGAAAATAGCGTAAGACAAGCCACGCCCACAACCCTGGATATGAATAACGCAGGTCCAACAACGTCGAATCCATTCTGAGTCGAGCTCTCCAGCTCTCAAAGTGAAAGCATCTGCCTAGCGAAGAGAGATCTCAATTCAAGTTAGTTTGTGCGCCGAGGGGAATGTTGACCAGAGCCATTTCCCGGAGCCCAACCCAACTGTCAGTTAGTGTGTATTACCAAGTGTCAGTTAGTGTGTGCCTCCAAGTGTCAGGATGCCAGACCAGACGTTGGAAGAGTGGAAAGCCAATATTGCACGACAAATCGAAGGACTGCAACAAGAAAATCAAGCCTTGAAGAGCAACTTATTCCACCTCCAATACGACAATGCCAATCGGATAAAAGAACTAGAAGTTGTGAAAAAAGAAAACTTCAAGCTCAAGGTCGCCAAAAGCGCATTTCAAACGGCCGACAATGTCAAGACCGCCGAAATTCTCCGACTTTCCAAGCTAGTCGACCTCCAAAATATGGAAATCGGCAACAACAGTGACAGTGGTGCCGACTCACACCGACAACGAATTCCAGGTCTCAGTCCAGTCAAGCCGCCGTAAAAAATCCGTCAGCAGCGACGAAAGCCATCAACCACAGAAACAAGTGTTGAAAACACCAGTGCCATCGACCACCCCGGTCATCGTCTCCAATAAAAAACCCTCAGGTGAGCCAGCTAAAACCCTATACCCACCACCAACCTCCCAAAAAGGGTTTCCAACTCAAACCTCCGACGGCCGTCGAGATTCCGGCCCCCCAACCACCAAGGGAAAGAGTCCCCCCAATAGTATTTCGGAACAAGGAGAAGTACAATGACATTACTGCTCACTTCAAACAGCAGAAAATCCAGTTTGGTCCTTTGACGAACACCAGTGAAGGGATCAAAATGCACCCCGCCACGGCTGAGGACTATCGCAAAATTCAATCCTTTCTGGAGAAAAACGGTGAGCCCTTCCACTCTTTCTCATTTTTGGAGAAGAAAAAACTGAGGGTCGTGATTCGTGGTCCCCTCAAACATTGGACAACCGACTTTATTAAAGCCGGATTGGAGAGCCTGAACTTCCATCCGACGTCAGTGATCAGGTGGTACAACGCCAAGGGACCCCCTGTGCCACTGGTGCTAGTGATTGTACCGATTGCCGAGAAATCTATTTACCAGGTCAATTTTATCAACAACATCAAAGTCAGGGTGAAAACCCAACGTCAACAGGAGCGTTCCACTCAATACCATCGCTGCCAGCTTTACGGGCATTTTCTGAAACCTTCATTTCGCTTCTCACTTCAGAATTATGCCATCATCAGACAGGGCAGGGACGGCAGAGGGGGTGGAACCCTCATAGCAGTCAAGAAGAACATTCCTCATCACGAACTAGCTAACCCCGCCGACGGACTTGAAGGTACTTTTGCTTCAATCCAAACAAGAGACCGTCATCTTTTAGTAGGGTCCATCTATCTGCAAGCCAACAACTACCTCACATTTCACCAACTCGACGAACTTTTCCACGACCCGGTCCTACCAGTTTTATTGGGCGGCGACGTCAATGCTAAAAACAAAGACTGGGGTGACTCTACCAATAACCAGACAGGACTGGCTATTCAATACGGCGCTGACAGACTAAACTTCCACATTTCGAGACCTGACGAACCTACTCGTCTGGGGAATGGCGCCCCAAGCACTCTGAACTTCATCCTCCACAAAAACGTCCATCCCGTGTCTCTCCCTCGGGTTCTCCACGAGCTGACTTCCGACCACCTTCCTGTGGTAATTGAATTCGGGGATATTCACGACCGCCCCCGCTACAGCCGTAGAGACTTCACCTTCACCAAATGGAATACCTTCAGTAACCACCTGGCAAATCAAGAAGCTCTTGAGGATATCCAGAACACACAGGACCTGGAACAAGCGGTTGACTCACTCACCGGAACCATCTCGCAAGCTCTGGAGATAGCAAAAATGACGGTTCACCTGAATAGACACCAGCAGCAACTACCTCCCGATTTAATTGAGGAAATCAAAATCAGAAACCGCTTAAGAAGGATTGCACTTCGAACAGGTGACCGTTTCCTCAACCAGCTATACCATAGTATCAAATACAGAGCGAATGAAGCCTACAGCGCTCAATGGCAGGAAACGCTGGAATCCATCCATTAGCTTGGGAAAGACCTATTCCTGTTGGCAAAAAAACCTGACCAACGGCCCGCGCCTGCAAATGCCATGTAGGTCAACAAGACCACCATTAACGACCCAGCCCTCAAAGCTGAAGCATTCGCCGACAGTCTACAAAACCAATTCACAAACAACCTGCCACTCTACCCTGGACACGAACAATTCGTCCGCTTTTC